TTTTCTTTTTCTTCTTTTCTTTCTTTTTGTTTTGTTTCTTCTTTTTTTTTTTTCTTTTCAGTTTTTTTTTTTTTTTTCTTTCTTTCTCTTTCTTTAATTCTTTCTTTTCTTTTTTTTTTTGTTCTTCATTCATTCGTTTTTCTTTCTTTCTTTCTTTCTTTCTTTCTTTCTTTCTTTCTTTCTTTCTTTCTTTCTTTGTTGAGTGCTTCTTCTACTTCTTATTTTTTTGTTCTTCATTCATTCGTTTTTCTTTCTTTCTTTCTTTCTTTCTTTGAGTGCTTCTTCTTTTTATTTTTTTGTTTTTCATTCGTTTTTCTTCTTTTCTTTCTTTCTTTTTCTTTTTTTTCTTTTTTTTTTCTTTTTTTTCGTATTCGCTTTTTTCTTTCTTTTTATTTTACTTTCAATTTTAATCTTTTTTATTCATTCGTTTTCCTTCTTTTTTTTTCTTTCTTTAAATTTTTTTCCTTATCATTTATTTTTTCTTTCTTTTCTTTTTTTCTTTATTTCTTTTTTCTTTCTTTCTTTTCTTTCTTTGTTGAGTGCTTCTTCTACTTCTTATTTTTTTGTTCTTCATTCATTCGTTTTTCTTTCTTTCTTTCTTTCTTTCTTTCTTTCTTTCTTTCTTTCTTTCTTTCTTTTACATTTTTTTCTTTTTTCCCGTATTCGCTTTCTTTCTTTCTGTGTTTATTTTACTTCTTACAATTTTAATCTTTTTTATTCATTCGTTTTCCTTCTTTTTTTCTTTCTTTCTTTAACAATTTTTTCCCTTATCATTTATTCGTTTTTCTTTCTTTCTTTTTCTTTTTTCTTTATTTCCTTTTCTTTTCTTTGTTGAGTAATTCTATTTTTTGTTTATTTAATTTTTTTTTTTACATTTTTTCCCAGTATTCGCTTTCTTTCTTTTTTTTTTATTTTCCAATTTTAATCTTTTATTCATTCGTTTTCTTTTTTTTCTTTCTTTCTTTAACAATTTTTTCCCTTATCATTTATTCGTTTTTCTTTCTTTCTTTCTTTTCCTATTTCTTTGACTAATGTTTATTTAATTTTGTCCCGGTCTTTCTTTTATTTTCCTAATGTTATTTTCTGTTCTTTTAATTGATTCTTTCTTTCTTTCTTTCTTTCTTTCTTTCTTTCTTTCTTTCTTTCTTTCAACAGTTGTATTCCATTGTTTCTCTCTTTCTTTCTTTTTTGTTTCTTTCTTTGTTCTTTTTTGTTTCTTTCATCGTTTGGTTTCTCCTTTTTTATTTTTTTGTTTTTAGATTGCGCCATATTTTACGAATTTTTCACATTATTAATATTAATACGATTTCTTTTTCTCTTTTTCTCATGATTTCCATATATTATTTATAAATGGAGCGGGGGGGGGGCAATTTATGCCCGGAGATGTTTTTTTTTTATCTCCTTCTTTTTATAAAACCATCAAAAAATATTTCTAAGCCTTTGATTCGGAATAAAACTGTTCCCATCAAAAGCTTACATGGAATTTTTCTTCTTTTTCTCTCTTGTTCATTTCATCAGTTTCGCGTTAGAAATTATGTAAGAGTTATTTGCTATTTTCCCCTTCTTTTTCATCTGCGCATTTCTGTAAATTTAGAATTTTGTGTAACTCTGCCAATGTTGAAGACAATTACGCTTGAAATTCTTATTTCGGTAAAGTATATCTTTATTTACATACGTCCCCACCCGCTTGTTTTATATCGTTCTTTGAAGTTGGTTACCCGGAAAGAGGCGAAGCCAGACACACTTCTTTCGGAAGAACTCGACTGAAGGTCGCCAAAGATGGGCCTTAAGCTTGATATCAAATTACTATTTAAAGCAAAACCTCAAAAGAACACTTATATATAACATCAGAAAGAGATAACTGAAATTTCTAGGGCACATAATGAGGAAAGAGGGCTTAGAAAATGTGACACTCTCATGACATATAGAAGGCAAGAGGGACAGAGGATAACAGCGAATAACAGACCCGACGAGATTCTATACATGGTTGGCACTACGGGGATTAGGAGAGATAGCGAAAAGTTAAAATTTGTTAAAAGCTATCAAGGATAAGAAACTGTGGAGAGCCATAATCGCCCACGTTTTGACAGTGTGGAGAAAAGGAGGAGATGTAACTAGGTTATCTGTTTCATCAAAATATTTTCTTCTAATCAATTCACTACAAAGAAGACAATAAAGCCACTGAGACGCAATGGTCTACTTGGAGTGAAAGAGAATGACAAGACTTTAGAAGGAACCGAAAACGCAGTCCAAACAGGAAAATAAGGATAATATATATATATATATATATATATATATATATATATATATATATATGTGAAAATATATATAGAAAATAGGAAGGAACTGGTTAGGTAAATAATCCAAAGTTCCTTAGTATTTTAGTTATTATTTTAAAAAAAATAGTGCTCGATACAAAAGTAGAGCATAAATATAATTATTTATTTAAAAATATGATTCCAATTCGCGACATAAGAGGTCTCATGTTTCAAAACAAGAG